ATACAATATAAATTCTAGGAGTACAGTTATTAAGTCAGAAAAATCCCTGTCCGCCTTCAAAAAGAATTACCCATATATTATTTATAAATATTATAGATTACTTTATTAAGATATGAATTTAAATATATTAGTTATTCTTATCGCAAATAATATATTAATTATAAAATTATATTAGTTATTTTTATCCTAAATAATACATTAATAATTTCTATTGACCCGATAAGTTCTACCTGACCCGACCCGACCTATTGCAGATCAATTTAAGACTGAATGACCCACGGGTTATACATGACCCATTTAAACACTACACCTGGTTGCCTTAGGAAGACAGATCCGCGCTTCTTTGACCATACATATCAGAACTAGTAGTCCAGGACATTCAGAATTACAACCGCACTTACATCAACGGCTTGATTGTGCGCGAGAAGAGATTATCGTCACTGCAAGAATCACAAAAAAAAAAAAATAATTAGGGAAATCCTTGAAATCACCATTTCCATTCTCACCGAGTTACCGGTGGGAATGATCGTTGGTAAAGGTGCATGTAATTTACGTTCAATAGAAGATACCTTTACAAAAATTCATGTCGACAAAGATTCTTCGACCATACTCATCAGAGCTAGCAATCGGTGGCATTCGGAGCAAAACCCTCCTTTAAACCAGCGACTTGATAATGCGCGGAAGGTTAAATTGCTATTATTGTCACTGCAGAAATATTTCAAAAATAAACAAGAACAGAATGAGGTAAAGAGGAATGAGAATAAACTGGAGAGAGATAAACCAGGAAAAGATGCAACGAAAGGATATAAGGACGTAGGAAATATGTGCAACAAAAAAAGAAATCTATGAGAAATGATACTGATTATGCTTGAATAATTCGAATAATGGAACGACACGTGAAAGAGATTTTCCGGAAACGTAAGAGATGTATGCGAAAAATAATGTTGAATCAAGATATTGAAGATTACTTGTTTTTTTTATTTTAAAAATTGAACACCAGGAATTTCGCTCGGGTGGCCTTAATGCATAACAATGAGCAAATTCATGAACTTTTTACTCTCATTGCCTTATAGTTTGATTTCATCCCGACCTGCACAAGCTCTCTTACCTTCACATCATCGAATGGATGTCTCCTTAGGGTTTTGCAATTGTTGATACCTGCCTTAGTTGGAAAAGTTCACAACTACCCTTGTTTATTGGAAAATCAGGTTCTAATACATATACTGATCCGACTGATTACAATAAATATCCATGCTATGACTCAAAATCACTCGGACAGCCTACTTGGATAAAATGATTTACTTTAAACAAAGAATCCTCAAGTAGTTTAGCGAACAATTTTCGTGATAATTCCGATACATTATACTAGAGTATTGTTGAATAAAATATTGTAAATAGATAGATGGTTAGATGCATATGTAACTTAAAAAATAAACTGTTATGTAGTAATATATAATAAAAACAATATTATAATGTAAAAAAAATTTTTTTTAACCGAATTATTATTTTGCTCAACGAGCCTATCAACTATTTTACAAAAAAAGATACTTTTGAAAATTATTTATTTTACATTAAAATTTACAAATATGGATTTTATTTTACGGCATAATTCAAAATTGTGCTTTTGCTTTTTTATAAAATAACAAAAAAAATGTATTTTAAAAAATTTGAAAATGTATATTTTATTATAAAAAATTCTAATGCAATAAAAATTTAACAATATATAGTTACATCTAGAATAATAAACAATATATATCACTTGACCAAGTTCCATCACGATAGGAACCCTGGCACAACTATGCTTTGTGATCCGATTTGAACTGAATACTACGTGTCATACACTAGTTATTGAATCTATATTGACGTCTCTATTAACACCCGAGATCTTTTTTAAAGGGCTTACCCGCCTCAAATCACTCAACCATTTTTCATACACTTTACTATCAATGCTTTGAATGTATTTAATGGATTTGTCCCGGCATTCTTGACTAATCTGTTCATAGGTGTCACGATCATTCAACAGACTCCTCAGAGTTTGAACCCATGGTTCGATGTTTTGAGGCGGAACTTTGTAAATGCCCATCTTTTCTATAACATCTTGATCGGTTTCACGTTCTCCGGAGATCACGTTCACGTGGATCGTTCCGAATTTGACACCACACTTGGCTTCGGTCAAACCACCAACGTCCGAGCATATTACAGGAATACCCCTCAGCATGGCTTCTACGACTACGAGTCCGAAAGCTTCGTACCTAAACACATACACACGCATAAATATTTGGTAAGAATCTATTTGTGAAATTGTCAATTTATAATATGTTTATGCTTACCAAATAGATGGTACAAGGAGAACCTTGGCTAGAGGCCATAATTCGTCCATGTTTTTAAACATTGGCATTATTCTATTTTTCACAATAAGAAATTATGTAAGTTGGATGATCTTAAAATCACCTCATCACAGTCCAGTTGGTGATGATACTCACTTGATATTCGGTACTTTGCCCAATTCATCCAATTGATATTCGCTTAAGCTCCAGCTCTTAACAGCTGCAAAGCTAACATCACTCATTTTTTCGGCCAACTCTTTGAAGATGACGTATCCTTTAACACTTCCCGGGTTAATGGCCAAGACGTAGGGAGAGTCAAAGTTGTGATACCTCTTGAATGGTGGTTCGCCGAAAATTGCCGGATGCAGTGGAAGGTGAGTTGCACGGAGTTCTTTACCGTATGCTTTGATATAATCCTTGATCGCGTTACTAACTGCCCATACGCCTTCAATCTCCTTCAACCATTGAAGCTCGGTTTGGGAAGAAGTGCTACCAAATCCTGGTACGCCACCATACGGGCCAAATGATAGATGTTCACAGGCGTGACATATAAACACTCGAGTTATGGTGGGGGGCAAGGCCGACGCGATCTTAAGGGAAACCGAATCGTTGAATATGAAGTGCGTCGTACGGAAAGATGTGAGTTCCTTCATTATAAAACGGCGATATGCATCATATTCAGCGGCAGTTTCTTTATCCTGTATGTATTAACAACGATGATGAATTTATCGGAAACTGAAAACAAACCGAAATAAATGCGTACGTGTTCTCACCTCTAGCCAACGTTCCAATCGGTCTTCGACATTTTTTAGAGGCTTGGAGAGCGAACTTCGCGGGAAAATCTTAAGATACCTTTCCAGTTCGAGACCGATAATCTCAACGTTTCCCCAGACGAATCGATAGACGCAGACCTCGTTACTTTCATCACCAAAACAAACACGTTCTTCCGTATAGTCGACTCCCGCAGCAAGCAGGTCGTTCTCCCAACAAAGAACGATCGACCGACAGATGTGCCCTCTTTTCGCTAAGGAAGACAGAAAGTAGTAGTTTGCCTTATACCCACCAGATGTATTAAAAAGGCCTAGGGCTGTTTGGATGAGAAAAATCCTCAAGACATTATCCGAATCGGGCGAGATTTTTGAATATTTGGACTTTGGGGCTACGAGTTGTGGGAGCGAATTAACTGTTACAGAGGTAAGCATTTTTCTTTTTACTTTTGTAACTGCAAAAATGCGCGGCACCTTTGGTTTTTGAAGGCTTTATTTTATACTAAAAAATTTTTTTATTATCTTCCAACGACAAACATAAAGATCAAAAAAAACAAGACTTGTTAACTGTACATCTATCTTGTGACTTCATTGTGACGAATCCGTTGAAAAAGTAATATACCGTATTTACAAATTGCTGCAATCGTCATAAATCATAAATGCATATTAAATGCATGATACAGTAATATAATTTGATGATAGAATCACCGATAAAGCCGTTGTAAAATTTCTCGAGTTTTTCGGAAGTTTCCCGAATACAGAGTCCCTGTTGTCTGTTACAGTCGAACGTATATTTCGTGTATTGCGATTACATAATTGCGACAAAGAGTGAATTCAGCCAGTTAGGATTGATCTCCCGCAAGAATTTGGTCGAAAAATATAACACGCCTAATGATCCGGCCCGATATAGATTGGTGATAACGATCAGACCATTTAAATCTTTTTTTGAATAAAATTCGATTTGGTGATTTTGAAGAAATTTTGACGTTTAAATTATCGTCAGATCACCAAAACCCTTATATCACCGTTGATTGTTTTTGGGTGATTCTTTAACACACAATTGTTTAAGTTTGTTATCATCTGAAAAATTGTTTGTGAAATGAGGTCATCTCATATTCATGCGCGGTATTGTCCTTCAAAAAAAATCTGTGATGTATTATTGTTTGTTTTTCTTTCTTTTTCTTTTTTTTAATATATACAATTATTATATCGTTTTTTTTTCTTTTTTTTTTAAAAAAATGGTATTGTTTTCCATTGATTATTTTTTATGCTTATTTTTTAAAATTTATTGATTCATTTCCTATTCTTCATTTCATTATTTTTTTCATAATATCTTTCATTTCATTATTTTTTTCATAATATCTTTCATTTCATTATTTTTTTCATTAATTTTTTTCATTTCATTTCTTTGTCTCCTTATTTTTTGATTTACTGTGCCTTGGATCTTGGAACGTTCCAGAAGGCAAAATGAATGAATATTAGTGTGTATACATGATTTGATTCTTGATAAACGACGACGATGATGTAATTACGCCGTAGGTAGGGCTAAGACGTTGAAAAAACGTGCCAAGTCTTACAAAGCTTCATTTAAAAGATCAATATCTAGTTCATTATGTCGCTATCACGCACAATTATGAAAACACTCGTTACATCCGCGCAGTAACGTGCGTACCATGAGTTATCAAAACAATCAGTTTATGTAAGGCTTACCATTTCAGTATAGAAATAAAGTTCGAAAAAAGCAAATTCTAGAAACATCACAGAATTTCTCGTAATAAAATTGCCCCAAATTAAGTAGTAATCAATATACTGTATTTTCAAACTCTTATCTCTGAAAATTTAGCTTATCAACATTTGATAAGTGAAAATTAATGCTTTCGATCAATTATTCTTTAACTCCCTACAAACCAAAATATTATGGACGACGATAACTTGGGATTCTTGCCTCCCGTCCACTTTCGTTCCAAAAACCCATCACCACCCACCAGAAAACCGGAAAAACACGCAAATACCAATTTTCGATCCTTTCGACCAAAGTCCAATCATTCTTTCAATGACAGAAGAAATAAAACCAAATCCTACAGAAAATCCTCGGTCGGTCATAACGAAGATGGTAACCGTGAACCGGCAACATTGAAACGGAATCATCAAGACATTGATGATGGTGACGAGGAAAGGAATGAATCCGTAGGGAGTTTTCAAAGGTCTCTGAGTAATTTCATGTTTTGCAATAGATCTGTCGTCGCGTCTCCCACACCAAAGAAATTCATCCCTCACACACTGCAACATTATGAGAGGGAAAAATCAATTACAGGTGAAGAAGAGAGTCGATATCGACCTGGTCGCTTGGGAGGATTTCAAAGGTCTTTGATTTGTAGCCAAATTGGTGTTCAATCTATCAAGCCTTCCGTTGGGGATTCTAGTTCATCGCCAAAATCTGACAAGTTCAAGTATGGGAGATTCCAAAGAACCTTGAAAGACTTTCAATTTGGTAGCGGCGCCTGCACCCAGAAAACTGATTCGAATAATGCTCCAGCCAGGAGCATGAACATCGTAACGTTAAGGAGGCGGAAAAATGAATCCCCATCTACTACAGATGCCTCGGATTCAAGTACACCTATTAGTTCACGCGATTTGCGAACAAATTCATCGTTTAAGAGAATTCGACGCGAAATCGACAAAGGTGTAGTGGTCAATAAAATCCCCGGACCGATTGAGTACCTTCCACCTATGGTATGTTTTTCGTTTGATTTACGTACGTTCGATTTTGATCGTTTCAGGTATCTCATCGTATTCATGCATGACACTAGGATCTAGATCAAGTGCGAGCGCACGAACAAACTCTGGATAACGTAATGAAAAATTATTATGATCAAGATTCAACACATTCAAAGAGTCCCGAACCTATCGAGCACTCTCATATTTCTGAAGAAGAATGGATCTCTGTGCTAGACACAGTATTCCTGCGTAAACGCCTTTTCTTCTGTCTGCTTTGACGTATTAGAGTTACGGAAATTTTAAATTCATTTACATTTAGCTGAAGAGATGGCTAATGAATCCATCAAATATACGATAAGTGCAATACATCAAATGGTTGATTATAGAAAAAGAATTCCTGTTACCATCGGAAGAATTGCTAAATTTGACTCGAACAAAAGAATTGTTACCATAGAAGATTTCACAGGTAGAGAAATTCAAGGGATTTTTTTTTTTTAAAAAAAAAAATCATGTTCACGGTTTCGTTGACAAACGATATTATTTTTATGAAGGGGAAATCAAAGCTATTTTTCACGAAAAAGTTCTTTCGGTATATGAACAACAACTTCGGATCGGAACGATGATAGTTTTAATTAATGTAGGTGTTTTTTTTTTTTTTTAGTATTGGTCTAATTATGCTTATACTCAACCCCACTGCAACTAATACAGCTCGCGTTTCTACGTGTGGAAGGAAATAATTATCTTAATGTCACGCTCGCCAACATTCATTGGGTATCGGGGTCTGGTCAACCAAATGACAAAACTCATCAACTCACTGTTAATGACGTCTCAGAGACTCGTGTTCAGTCAACTAGCAACAAGGTTGAGACCCTCAGGTTTCCTCTGCAAACTACCAAGGAGATGGTACAAGAAGGATCGAGTACTGATGAGTCAATAAAACAAGTCGACATCGCGGTTGATCAGACCGAACGAGGAAAGTCACGTGTTGAACATTCAACAAATACCGATGGGAAAAATTATGATGGTAAATTTATCGTTATTGTACTATGCATTATCATGATGTCAGAATAAATTATGCTCGCTTTGAGTTGTTTTAGTAACTCTTTCTTTGTTTTACAATATAATCTGTTCACACACAGAGGAAATATTGTTGCCTGATGTTGAAAACTTTAGTAGTCTATGGTCAAATACTGGGGACCCCGAAGACCTTTCGTGGATGTTAGAAGATCTGGAAGAGATAACGTAGATTGATGATATTGACACGACTGCTGTCCGAAGAACGGGGGTTATAGTAGTAAGGTGGTGTCAGTAATGAATCTCGTGATTTGAATGCATAGCTATTAATGATTAGAACCGATTAATTAGAACAAAAAACCATAAAATATAAATGTAAAAATTTAATCCAAAAAAAAGAAAAGAAAGAAATATTTACATAAAACAGCATACACTATGTACACTATCATTAGGTTTGACTAGACTTATCCGATACGAAGATTTTCACCAAATATTACAACATATCGTGTGAACATAACGATCGGTTAACTGGCGTGCAATGTTATATCCCTTGCTTTCCTAGTATCATTTAAACCTTCTTTACGTAAAATTTCCATTAAAACTTCCATTACATAAAATTTGATTACAAATTCCCCAGTGATCGCTCAATATCAAGATGAAAATATGCCTTCTTCACCATAAAGGAGATTAGCGTGACCTCTGATCAACACATTTCTAATAGCATCTTCTAAATTAAGGATAATTCGAATAAATAACAGTTTTAGCCCGTGCCACGCTAATTAAGTTTGACTAGCTTATTTGTTATGAAACCATGGTTTTAATTTATAAGGTCAGCATTGCGCGCAAATTATCTCATTTTTCCTTTCACCACCGTTTCCCCAAGTCATTATTTATTGTTAAGGGTAGACGAAATTTGAACTACTCTTTTTCCTTCTTTATCCGTTGCTAAAGAAGAAAGAATTGTAGTTCAAATCAATATTCATAACTGCAAAAGGATTGGGATTGCGTCAGGATTCCTTTTTTTTGCTATTTCGTCTTCACCTCCAAAGGTTTACGGACTCACTTTTCTTCACTTGGCTATTTTCTGCAAACTCACAACCGTAGTTAATTAGTTACCTAGAGTCGCTTGTCCACGATACCCCAGGCACACGAACGCACAAGTATCTGTGATATTTGAAAGATCACCGTCAAGAAATATAGAACCCTAAAGTCATTGTTTTATTACCGCCTCACTTATTCTATACGAATTCAATTCAGATTCGACCTGCTGCTTCATAGTAATTCGCTTTCTGCTAAACATAATTCGTTAAGCGAAAACATGATACGGCATCGGCAACAGGGGTCAAATTGGTTGTACCGATTAACAAGCTCGGTGGTATCATTGCATTGCATGTTAAATAATCCAGTGGTAGCTGATCAAATGCTTGTTCATCAAGATGACAACAGTACCAAAAATTATGATACAGCAGATTCTCAAAACTCTGATAACGCCATCACGACTGGAACGGCGATCACGATGATTGTGTTGGTACTATTATTCTTAATAGTCTCCTTTGTGAGTTTTATAAGAAGACGAAATTCTCAGAATACGGTGAGCAATTTTTGAAGTTTCTCAGATCAACTTTACACGTGACATTTACCATATTATTATTATTAGCCATTATCAAAGGACTGGAAAATCCTTGATGATTTCGAGCTTGAGCAAAGCCGTCACGTTCCTTCGCCCCGATTCAATGATTCTTTCAGTGTGAATTCACCCTCCCCTAATAATATTATCTCGTATCCGGATAGCGTACATACAGGAAACACAAAAAACTCATCCAGATCAACGTCCTTTCTAAATGATCCTTGCCCATCGGACTCTCGATCCGAATCTTACTCCTTACGAGAACTCTCCTCAACCAATTCCATAACTCTTTCAAAATTACCCGATGTTCCTCCATCGCTCGGCGACATGCCAAAATTTCGAACAGATTCGGACACCTGGGAGAAATATTTGGAAATGATGAATAGGCCAGAGAAGCTAAATGAAACTGTGATTCTTATGGGACGAACGGGACACAGCCCACATAGTAGCGGAGGACGATCGTTATAGATTGGATCAGCGATGAATATGACATATGCGTAATTTACATTCCTTCGTTCGTACTCAAGGCAGGTTTGCCTTGACCTTTTCGTAAATTATCGTGACTCATAAATCGCCATAAATCTTTTGAAAGATTTTTGATTTTATGAATAACAAAATTTTTTTCAAAAAAGAAACAATCAAAAATCCTCAATATTCAATCGAACCTCGAATTGTTAAATAATTTAATTACAGATTGGATCAACTATACTTAAATCTTTATGTTTATAATTTTTATCTCTGTAAACATTTAATTATATTCGTTAAAGAAAGCATAATTCAAATAATAATAGATAGGCTACAATTAATTTACCCATGTAAAGATTATTAATGTAATGACAGTAAATGTTTGTTTAAATAAAGTCTTACATTTAATGCCTGTTTGTGATAAATAATAACTTACTTTACTTAACATATATTATATCATCCTTAAAAAGTAAACATATTAAATTTTAATTATAATTTGGAAGGCAACCTTTATAATATGACTGAAATACATATGTGTAATTAGATATTTGATTATTTTTAGGTAGTTAAATAATATTCTAAGCTTAAGTATAGATTTTGAAATTTGGATAATGCTAGAAATATAAATAGGTGAATTGATAAATTTCTGGTCAAGATTTATTTAAGTTTAAAAGTTTTACTTATGTTTGGTTATATAAAAAAAGAGTTATAACAGTTTTTTTGTTTTTTATTCTTTTGCATTTTCTTTTAACTTTTTTAAATAGTTTTTTTTTGATCAAAAATTTAAACTTAATTTATATCTTTTAATTATTCAACATTTATTGATTGGTTAATTAATCTCTGTTACTTTATCAAAATCAAAATCAAATTAATTTCAATTAATTAACTTATTATTATAACAATAACAATAATTATAATTATAATAACAACAATAATAATTATTATTATTATAATAACAAGTAATCTTAATTATATTTAATTATTTATGTTAACAAAGATTATATTAGTAAGTAACAAAAAATTTAAAAAAATAACATACTGTATATTGATTTAATAGTTTTTTTTTTTGAAGATATAATTTTTATCATTTATTTAATTTAATTTTAGTTTTTTAATTTAATTTTATTTTATATCTTTTATTTTTTCTTAAAATAAATAAAATATAATTCCTATTTAATCATATCAGATATTTTAATATTGTTTTAAAAATTAATCTTGATATTAGTTAAATTGTAAATCATATAAGTAAATTAATATTGAATTTATTGTTAATACCAGTGAAAAATATTATATGTGTATGTATATACAGATCAAATAAAAAAATAGTGTTTATCTATAGGAATAATAAGAATAATAAGAATAATAAGTTTAATTATACTGTATATCTGCTTGAAATATTAAAAAAAAAATTTAATTTGTTACATTGAATATCTAATGACTTTTAAAAATCAATTTTATATTTTATATTAAAATATTAAATAAGATTGTAAATTTTTATTTTGTTAAAATAAAATTAAATAATTTTTAATTTTTAATTTACAATATACGATATTTACATAAAGTTAAAGTTCGAATAAAAATTCGATTTACTGTATCTTTAATGTATGTACAGTAGACGGTATATTCAATTGTCGAATGTTACCTTTTTTTTAAATGCAATAAATACAGGTACATACAGGTTATTATGAAACCATGCCTATTTATTTATTTATTTATTTCGTTTAATGCGGTAAGGTTTTTTAATGCTTGTCATGTCTGTAAACCGGAATAACCAAAAATTCAATTATTACGATTCTTGATCGGACCGGTTGTTGACAGTCTTCCGCGTTCTAATTTTGATAATGACATCCGGTTCGAAACTGGGTGAATACCTTGTTTTATAATCAACAAAAGCACGGGAAAATATGTTCCTAGATAAATGAAATTGCTATCATAGAATGAAAAATTTAAACATTATGACCATAATGTCGCGTTTTTTAGTATGAATTTTCAATTTAGTTAAAGAAACATCGATTTTTAGAGTACAGTAGTAGCATAGATCGCAGTTGACCAAATTCAGACGTTATATTGGTCAAAATAATCGATCGATAAACAAGACCTTTTCGATGATGAATTCTTTCCAAAGGCAATGGCAAAGTGTTATTTTCCTTTACTAAATAACCCGTGACGTTATTTAAATATTGAGGCTGGTGTATTGTGTGCACGTATTAAAACATGCCCAAATAGAAAATACGCATAACACGCACGTTACACTAGTCGATCAGATAAAAATACCCATACGAATTCGGATTAGGATTTCAATCCTCTCTAACTCTCACGAAAAGGTCGTTTTGCGCAAAGAACAAGAATTTCGTGCCCTTGAAGAAATTCAAGTAATATGACCAATTTATTAAGAAAATCGAATTTTCATTTTCGATTAGCTTTCAAGGAAGATAATCAGGATAAAATATTTTATGTTAAAAATTCGTGGAGAATTGATGCCTTGCAAAACTTGTCGTTTCCGGATGATAAGGTTATTTGTGAATTGGAGGTCACTGATTGTAAGGAGTTTTGGACGAGAAGCGGTAAGCTGATTACATTTCTATGATTTTTATTTTAATCAATGATACTTGTCCTTTCATGCGCGTTTGCTCGGTCGACCTTAACGCCTTGCTTTTTATAATAATCCTAGTGACAATTGTGGATTTGAAACGTTCCAAACCAGAAAACATTCATGATATTTCAAAATATTGCGGAGCCACATATGCAGCATTGTCGGGACTTGAAGAGTATGAAAATCATAAATTAACGTGTAGGATTACGAACACAGAAAATCATGTTCGGGTAAGCTCAGTTGTCGTAAATTTTATTATTTAATTGCTATTTGATCTCTAATTTAATTATTTTCATTAGATTCTATGGAGGTGGTCAATGGAAAATGCAGCGGCCACTGCACTGGTGTTGTATTCATGATATCATTCAAATTTTCAGGAACCGTAAAGTTTTGAGAATTTAATCAACCTGATTTCGAACTGATCGAAGAATAGACCTTAAAATTCACACTCGGAAGTCTCTTGTTAACGCCGGTTTCGTACTTTGAAACTCACAAAATGTGGCGAGAGTGGATGGACTTTTTTATTATGGAACGACAACGTCTCACGGTAACCATTTTTATCAAGTAAATGTTATTGACACGCGTATCTCGTAACGATATAGTAATACGTATGTGAACATTTATTGTGAGAAAGATTGCCAGTACGGCATTGGAAACGCGTGTCTCTGATTTGGAAAATGTGCGTGATCGAATGCAAGAAAGGATTGAACTCATGATTGCAGAGAAAATTAATCACGAATCAATTTTAATGGACAAGGTAAAAGCTCTCATTGAACAATGGCAAATTGGACGGACAATCATTAAATTTTATTAAATTAAATCATAGTTCAAGAAAGTTCTCAATACAAAGAAGAAGAAAATAAAAAATCTGATGAGTGCACTCAACGCAACCGGTAAATTGCCGTTATTTTGAGTGCTTATTTCCTTCTTCTAACAATATCAACGAATATGTCTTTTTAGGCGCAATAATTTCAAGCCAAGCTGAACAATCAAAAGTGTTATCAGAAGAAGTTCCCATGGAGGAATGTGATGAATCTCATGATGAATTAATGATCGACTCATCAACAAATCGTAAATCAAAAAATACATCCCGTGGACGCCCACCGAATTCGAAACTCGCCTCTGACTCTTCTGTTAGGACTCTTAAGAAATTGAAGTTAGATGATAATAATATAACCAAGAGTAAAAAGGACACCGAGACGTCCAACAAACAGCAAGGTGCTGAATCTGTACTAACCAAAACTTTTCGTGGTCAAATAATGAAATCAAGAAGGTGCCTGTGGATAATATTTCATCACGAATTGCAACTGGTTATTGTTATTTATTTATCTAATTTTATTTGTAATTTAGGATGGGTCGGAAAAAAGCCAATACAACTGTCAATAACGATGCGTTAAACTCACTCAATGAAATTTTGGTTGGCGCCAACGATACAAACATGTAACTTTATAATGCGTTCATTGTTGTGTCCATTAGAATTATTAAGTAAAATTTTTTGTTCTTTCGTTCAGTAATACATTTGAAGACAACTCTCAGGAAAATAGCGATCAAGATAATACAGCTGACAATTTATTAGACGAGTTGTGAGCAGGTAGATTTTTTCGAACCCTTGTTCTTCAATTTATATTAAGATTCGTCTCAACTATCCTATTCTCTACGTCTTTTGTTGCGCCCAAACATCCATTGAGATTATCTTGAAGCACTATTAATCGTTGTCTATTATATAAAAGTTAATTATCCGAATCATGAATTCGAAAAATTATCGTTTGTGATGATGAAATTTCAATCTGTAAACAGTACATACATACATTTCTTTTTCTAGAAAGAAATTCACATGGTAATATCAGTCAAATGTTACGTTCAGAATGTCTGTTTCCGTTTTCTGTCTTGCTCATGTTGATTCTGAGGTGATAATTATTTTTTTCGGAAAATTTGTGCAAACGTGATTACAAAAAGCACGGGTTTATCTACATTTTCACGTGAAATGTTGAAAATGCGCGAAATACTAAACACATCGAATCGAAAAAAGCGCATGTTGAATGTCATTATTATTTGTCTTTTTAAAATATTAAATGATATTTACATTTCCGGATATTATTAGAATTTCCGTAATATATTTACTTTTTATAATTTTTATATTCTAATTCACCAATTACTAAGATATTAAAAAAATAATTCTAAATATTTAAATTATTAATGATATACTGTAATTGATTTATTACTTTCGATGAAAAAAATTTTTTATGGTAAACTTTTTTTTAAAAGTATAAAGTATTATAAATTGCAGTGTAAATCCAAATTATTATTAATTACAGTATTCAATCAAATTTTTAAACCAATTTTTTTGTGCGAATAACTGATGGATTTTATTCTTTCTTTCCTTGTTTGATATTTCAAAAAAAAAAAACCAAAATAACTTGTTTCTTTTTAAATTCATTAATGATTTATATTTTTATTAATCAACTTATATGTTTATCTACAGAGAGTAAACAAAAATTTATGGACACTTTTAAAATTTAAATAATAAATTAAATTAATAACACATTAAATTAATAAAATATATATTTAAAATCTTTGAAAACCAATCTTTTAAATAAATATACTGTATATAATTATATACAATTATGCAATGGTTTTTAAGAAAATTAGATTTAAAAAATTATTTAAAATTTTTATTTAATCACTATAGTATATAAAGAATTTATTTCTAATTATATTCTTTTTTTTTTATAGTTTAATATTAATTTATCTATATATCTATATAATTAAATTTATTTTTAATATTTTATAATTCTCTTTAGTTACAATACAAGCCACAATATAACATGACATATTCTTAACTAATCATTTACAATATTCCAAATTAATCTTATTTTAATATTTTAAAATACAATCTTCAACCTTTATCAAATTACTAAATTTAGCTTCACAAACTTTAACTTTAATATAATATCAGTGATTTTTAATTGAATTAAAATTCGAACTTTTAAAAGACCAATCCATAACTTGGATATTTTCATAATCAAAAACTTTTTTATAACTTTTTTTATTATATGATCTTATATTATCTTGCTAAAATCAAAAGCAACTACTATAATTTCAATTAGTCTTATTGAAATTCTTAAGAATTAGCAAAAAATATTCTTAAAAAATTTTATTATAAAAGAAAAAAAAAAGTAAATCTAAATTATCAAAAACTATATAATCTGTAAAAGCTCTTTAGTTCTCCAAACCTTCAAATAACATTATACTTTATATAGATTAAAAGTCATTAATCAATTTAACAAAAACATTAAAAAAACATACAATAACAGCTATAATAATCTAATATTATTCAGAATCAAACTACTTTTAGGAACCTTTTTAACTTATTAAATACTTTATTAATACTATCTTAACTAATATCCAAATATTTACTGTTCAAGATGTAAGCTCCTTACAGAAAATATTTAATATGTCTTCAAGTATCTTAAAATCTTAAAAGAGACTAACCAAATTATAAACAATATTAATCAAATCCTTCACCTAGACAACAATCTTAAATCAATTTTTTATATTTGACAAATATTATAATTGTTATATGAAATAACTGACAAAATCTTTTTCATAACAAATATTACCAATTTAATCAAAGCATTAACAGAATCCTTAGCTTAACTATATAACTCAATTTGAAAACCATACTATAATATTGCCAATATATCACTTCTTACTAATATTAAGTGGAACTTAAGCAAATCATTAAATATTATCAATTCAATCAAATCAAAAAGAAACAATACTAATTTTGCAGAAAACTTATATTTTAATATTATTTAAAATAAAATTATTATTAATCTTCCTATAATAGTTACTAATGTTTTTATCCAGTATAATTATAATTCTTCCAAATTTATTTAAAAATTTATTTTATTTTTATCAAATACTATTTTCTCTAATATTGAGTAAGTATTCATAGCTGCTCAGTATCATATGAAAAATATATTGTTTTAAATTTTTCTTTTAATATTAGTTATATGGTTACTGTAAACAAGCTAGTATTTAACTTATTATATTAATATATAAAAGATATTGTTTCTTTCACAATATATACCTTGCTATATACAAATCAAATAAAAAAATAATATTTATCTACTTAAAAAAAACAAACAATTTTAATATTTTTTAAAATAAAAAACAGTTTTTAAAAATTATTTATAAAATTTATATATAAATAAAAATTAAAAATACTAATATTTATTTACACTCTTTCCACTGATCCTTTTGCCAACACAAAAAAACAGATGTTCCAAGGAAATTTTATATTTCCTTGTAATAAAGTCTA